AAATAGTCATATTCAGCTGGGCTGAATTGCATTTTTTTAAATTAATTTCTAATTCAGCTAAGCTGAATTGTTTTTTTCAAAGAAATTTATAATTCAACTTAGCTGAATTGCATTTTTTTTTTTGGCGAATTCAGCTAAACAAAATATAATTTTCTGTCCATTCAGCAATGCTGAATTGACTTTTTCTTACTCAAAATACAATTCTGCTTAGCTGAATTACAATTTTGTTCCATTATATTTAATTCAGCTGAGCTGAATTGTAATTTTCTTAGATAAAATGCAATTCAGCTTTGCTGAATTAATATTTTTCGCCAAAAAATGTAATTCAGCAGCATTTTTATGCAAGAAAATTTTATTTTGCTTAGCTGAATTACAATTTTGTACCATTATTTTGCTATTCAGCTAAGCTGAATGGCGGCTTACTTGCATAAAATGCAAATTCAGCTTTGCTGAATTAGATTTTTCGCCCAAAAATGCAATTCAGCTGAATTCTATTGAAATATTTTTCCCTCTCTCCCTGTTGGTGCCCCCCCATTCTAAGACCACTCTGCTCTCTATACTAAAAAATCTACTACCAAACTCCTTCCTTATGCCACAAAGCCACCCTACCTCTACCCCCTCTCTCATCTCCAATTCCTAACGGAAAACTAAAACTAACCTTTCATTATGTGGTCCATTGGCTTAACATTATACCATGATGAAATTGTTGCCTGGTGGAGAGTTGGGAAAGGGGGAGAGGATGATTTACCCGAACGCCGAAAACCAGACACATTCATTAGATTCTAAATTACTTTTCGGAAGAACTGTTTTCAAAAACGGTAAAAAATGTCCTGTTAAATATTTTCAAGATTTATATTAATTTGTTGCTGAGGGAGAGCGGAGAGAGGGAGAAAGAGTTCACAGGGAGAGGGAAATTTTAATGGAATGGAATTTCTTATAATGTGGTTCGGACAAAAAGGCCATGGAATTCTTTGAAATTAGTTTTTTGTTTAATACAAATGTGGTTAGATGGGAGAATGGACAAAAACGTTGCTGAATTAGCTGATTGCTTTAAGAAAATCCCAAATTCAGCTAGCTGAATTGTAAGAAAAACTAAATTCAGGTAATAAAATTACATTTCATTGATGTATTTATAAATTCAGCTCAGCTGAATTGTGGTATTTGCATGAAATTTGTAATTTAACTTAGCTGAATAGGGGTTTTTTGTTAGAAAATTAATTTAAATTAGCTGAATTATAATATCTTGTAACATAAAGTCAATTCAGCTAAGCTGAATTGCATTTTTGAACATTTTTTTCAAAATTTAGCCTAGCTGAATTGCCTTTTTCTTGGCAATATTGCAATACAACTTAGCTGAATTGTGATTTCGATAGTTAAAGGAAAGAAAAAAATAATTCAGATAGGATGAATTGCATTTGCAGACAAAAAAACCTTAGCTGAATTTTGTTTTCATAACATAAACTTGATTTTCGGCTAGCTGAATTGTGATTTTGGAATGAAATATTAAATTTTTAGTACCTGAATTGCATTTCCAGTACAAAATCATCAATTCAGCTATGCTGAATTTCATTATTTGTAAGAAATTTTTGTTTTTCCTCAGCTGAATTGTGTTTACGTTGAGGAATTTGCAATTTTGCTTAGCTGAATTACATTTTCTGTACAAAATCATCAATTCAGCTAAGCTGAATTGGATTTCCAACGCGAAAACTTCAATTCAGCTTAGCTGAATTACATTTCCTGAGCGAAAACTTATATTAAGCTTTGCTGAATTGAATTTTTTTAAAGAAATATTGATTTTTGGTTGATTAAATTTTATTTTCTACAAAAAATCTCCAATTCAGCTAAGCTGAATTGTGTTTCCAATAGCTGAATACACAATTTTTCTTCGAAAATAACAAATACAATATTGCTGTATTGTATTTCTCGAACAAAAAATGTAATTTAGCTTTGCTGAATATAAAATTTTACCCCAATACTTTAATTCAGCTTTTTATTTGTCCTGTTTTAACCTTTAAAGGCATTTTTGCTGAATTTTTCTATTTGAATTTTCCTGCTGCCATGAAACCAAAGTGAAAGGGTTGTTTATTTGCCTACCGCCAACAGGAGCACTAGTAAAATTCCCCCCGGTGTCCTTCCCCCTTACTCAGGGTATCCTTTGGTATACCTTACCAAAAACTTGAATCCTTTTCCTATATACCATAAAACTCCAAACAAAGTATAAACAACCAGTCAAACCAAGCATGCATGGTTGCTGTCTTCCCCCCATCCTCTCTCCCCCCTCTCTCTCACTGGTATGCTTCTACAAGGATATGTATACGGTTATATGGTTTGGTTATTTAGCCACTACCACATAGAGTAGCTTCCCTTCAACGTCTACACAAAGGTCCCCCCATCCACTCTCTTTCAACCATCAATGTTCTGAAAACATCGCAGTGTCATCTCAGTTTTTGGTAACTCTCCGGCTGCTGGTCCCCCACCTCCTTCACCCCTTTTCCTTCTGTTCTGCTTTGATTATATCCTTTTGCATATTTTGCTGCTACCTCAACATAATTTTCGTTCAGTTCAGTATCAGAATTCATTGGGAAAAGTATTCGCTCAGCTACTCAGCTACAGTTCCGAATTGCTTGAGGTGTTGTAAGGACCTGCACAGATAAATCTCGGTGTGAAAAAAAAAGATTTTTAAAGTGAAAAAAAGAAAAAGGAAGCAAAACAAAAAAGTGAAAAAAATCAATCAATGTAAGGAAAAAAGTGGAATATAATCGAAAATAAGAAAGTAATAATTCAGCTTAGCTGAATTAGATTTTTCATAATAAATTTAAAATTTAACCCAGCTGAATTGTTAATTTGTTCAAAAATCAATCCAGGTAAGCTGAATTGCATTTTTTCAAATAAATCTTTAATTCAGCTGAGCTGAATTGCAATTTTTCAAAGAAATCTTTAATTCAGCTAAGCTGAATTACAAATTTTCAAAGAAATCTTTAATTAATCTTAGCTGAATTGGAAAAAATGAATAAATATACAATTCAGCTAAGCTGAATTGATTAATTCTAAAAAAGTTTATAATTCAGCGGAGCTGAAGTGTATATTTTTGAAGAAAATTGCTATTCAGCGCAGCAGAATTTGATAAAATTGAAGAAAACTGCAATTCAGCTTTGATAAATTCTATATTATCAAAGATTTTTGCAATTCAGCTGAGCTAATTTGTAGATTTGTATAAAGAATTTTCAAAAATTTAAGAAATCATCAATTCAGCTTAGGTGAATTTCATATTTTCAAAGATATTGCAAGGTGAAATGAATAATTTTAAGGAAATCTTCAATTCAGCTCAGCTGAATTGCATATTTTCAAAGAAATCTACAATTGAGCTTAGCTGAATTTGATATTTGTACAGAAATCTCAAATTCAGCCGACCTAAAATGAATATATGTTAAGAAATAATCAGTTCAGTGCAGCTGAATTGGCTAAAATTGAAGAAGTCATCAATTCAGCTTAGTTGAATTTTATATTTTCTAAGATATTTGCAATTTAGCTGAGGTAAAATGAATAATTATAATAAAATCTTCAATTTAGCTTAGCTGAATTGCATATTTTTCAAAAAATCAGCTTAGCCGAATTGCATATTTTCGAAGAATTTTTCTATTCAGCTCAGCTGAATTCGATATATACTAGGAGAACTTCAATAAAACGTAGCTGAATTTAAAGAAATTTTGAAATTACACCTAGCTGAATTGTTTATTTATCACAAAATCTTACATTTAACTTAGCTGAGTTATTTATTTATCACAATTTACAGTTTAATAATAAAAATGATTAATAAATATTTAATTCAGCTAAGATATTTTTCGTGAAATTTTCAATTTCTCTGAATTGTATTTTCATTAAGATTGCTTTAATTCAGCTGAGCAGAATTGTATATTATTCCAGAAATCATCATATCTACCCAGCTGAATTGGATATTTTCAAAGAAATCTTTAATTCAACTCAGCTGAATTGTATAATTTTAAAGACATTTTTAATTCAGCTAAGTTAAATTACATATTATTCTAGAAATCATCATATCTGTTCAGCTGTATTGGATATTTTTAAAGAAATCTTGTATTCAGCAAAGCTGAATTGCATATTTTTAAAGAAATTTACAATTCAGCTAAGTTAATTTGTCGGCTAAGCTGAATTTGATATTTTTAAGGAAATCTTCAATTCAGCTAAGCTAAATTTCATATTTATCAACAAATCTGGAATTCAACGTCAGTTCCATTGCATATTATTGTAGAAATCTTCAAATCTGTTCAGCTGAATTGGACATTTCTAAAGAAATTTACAATTCAGCAAAGCTGAAATGTATAATTTTAACGAAATATTCAATTCAATTAAGCTGAATTTCATATTTTTAAGGATTTCTCAATTCAGCTAAGCTAAATTATATAATTTTTACAGTTCTCTGTCTCTCTCTCAGCTGTTTCTCATTTCCGTGCATCATTGCAATGATGACACAAAGAGCGCTCAACACAATGATTGCGTAGAGCGTTCAACGTTCTTTGACATCTACATACTATTGTGAATGAATTGCATGATAACTGTTCTGCTTTGTCACGCTCTGTCACAACACTCTCCTCGTTTAATGAATGTAATAAAATGTGACATAAAGAACTCAACAGCACAATGGCGTTGGAGGCGCTGGGCGTCAGTCGTTCAATTGATATTGCATTGTGATAAAGTGAGACTGAGAGATTCAAGCCTTTCTATGACTCTTTGGATTTATTTTATCACACAAATGAAAATTTAAAGAACTCAACAATGTACCCAATGAAAACGTCAAGCGTTTAACGTCAATTAAGTAGCAATTGTGATATATTTTCAACGACAATTTTAATTTATATCAATTAAATTGCATATTTTTTTAGAAAAATATACAATTATTTTTTTATATATTTATTAGTTAATTTTTTTATTTATTTGTTTATTCATATATTTATTTATTGAAAATCCCTAATAAATTATTTTTTCTCTCCTCCTTTCAGACTTCAACAGAACGTTCATTCGATTTTGATGTCGATGATGCCATCGACGAAGATTCCGGTTCAGATTTTGATGAAGATGAGGATCCAGATAAAATAGAAGTGCCGGGTAAGTTATGAAGAAATATAATGGAAATGAATTGAATTTATGGTGACATTTAAAATGGAAATTAAATAAATAATAAACAAAATATAAAAATAAATAATTAAATATACAAATACATGAATATATTGACGAGAAATTAGGAGAATAAAAAAATACTATTAAAAAATTGGAAAAATATTTGTAAAAAAAATTTCGGGGAGTTAAAAAAATCATCGGCCTCCCAGGAACTTAATTTTTTTAAATAATAATAATAAATAAATTGGTATCTTGTCAAAATGTTATTCCAACTTGTGTATGTAGTGGTTGGTATTGGAGCTTCCGAAGACCAAATCATGGAAATGTTATTTTCTATTCCAGTGGTCTCCTCTTGCCTAACCAAACTTTGACAAAACTTTTTCATAAAAATTGGCAATAAAATATTTGGGCATTAACATTTGGAGACAAAACACACACACATAAATATTTTTTAAAATGTTTGAAAACTGTTATTTCGAATTTGTAAGATGGGAAATGTTGTTGTGGTGGTTTTGACAAAGTTGGTGGCTATTTGGTTAGATTCTAACCCTTTTGTTTTGAAGGGGAGGGGTTTTTTTAGCTACGTTTTTGTAGGGTATGGGTTATATTTTTTAATATTTCGACCCTTTTTAATTTGTGATGATGAATGAAGATTGGGTGAGAGCTAGGTGGGTGATGTTGAGACAGAAAAATTAAAATTTTTCGGTATATTAAAAAATTGTAAAACAAGAGTTAGTTTGGTAGAGGAGAGTGGTATTAACAAAATGGAAAATTGTCTATATTTTGAAAGAAAAAATTAAATAAAAATTTAAATTGTGAATTTAGAAAAGTTCACATTTTTTTTCAAGTTCTCAAGAATTTTTTAAAAACATTTTTTTCAAATTCTCTTTTTCAATTTTAAAATGTCAATAAAAAAACTTAGAGCTTAGCTCTTTTTTAGGAAATTTTTAATTTAGCATAGCTGAATTTTTTATGTTTCATTGTTTTTTTTTTAATTTTTATGAATTTTTTTCATTAAAATTATGAAATTTTAATGATTTTCTATCCATTCTCTTATCTCTTTAAAATGCTCTATCATAACTCCCCTCTTTCCCCTTTTTTATTCATTGATTGTTTACATTTCTCCTCCATTGATCTGTGATTAAAGTTCTGCCTCTGTTTCTCATTTCCGTGCATCATTGCAATGATGACATAAAAAGCGCTCAACACAAAGATGGCGTAGAGCGTTAAACGTTTTGTGACATATACACACTATTGTGATTGAATTGCATGATAACTGTTCTGCTTTGTCAAGCTCTCTCACAAGAGTTTTGTGACATATACACACTATTGTGATTGAATTGCATGATAACTGTTCTGCTTTGTCAAGCTCTCTCACAAGACTCTCCTCGTTTAATGAATGTAATAAATGATGACTTAAAGAACTCAACAACACAATGGAGGCGTTGGGCGTCTGTCGTTCGATTGATATTGCATTGTGATAGGAGAAAGAGGGGATTATTGGTTTATTCAAGGCTTTCTATGACTCTTTGGATTTATTTTATCACACAAATGAAAATTAAAAAAACACCACAATGAACCCAATAAAAACGTCAAGCGTTTATCGTCAATTGTGTAATATTTTTTATATTTTCAAAGAAAATTTTAAATAATCTCAATTAAATTGCATCCTCTGACCTGACCTGACCATTTTCATTATCTACCTCTACTCGTAGGTCCTTCTCCACCATCTACCATCCTCCTCTCTATATATAGACCCATTAATTATGTTAAGGATGTGCCTACTCGTAGATGACATACGCGATAGATTGTGTGTTAAACACACATGTATCAATTTCATGTCCTTTCTGACACATACACTTACATATTTACATACATGTATGCAAGAGGATGGTATCTCCTATTGGAGATCCAATTTTATATAGACGTCATTTCATTTAGCCTCATATATATGTACATGTGGATGTGTGTATGAAAATATATTCTATGTGTGTGTGCTTAAATCCGTATTAATTACATTAGCATAAATTATGACATTATTGACAAAATTAGCCATGACACTTGTAAGGAGCTTGGAAGGATATAATTTCTAGCAATTTCAACAAAAAAAAATATTTTCTAGGATTTTAAAAAAATATTTATTTACAAATCCACGTCTTGTTAGGATTGCGAGAAAATATTTAAAAAAAAAATCCACATCTTTTTGAAAGTTTGAAAATATATTTTTAAAAATCCCTTGCCTTTCCACGACTTTTCAGGAATTTAAAGAAAATGTTTTTTAAGGGACCTCCCTACTATACCTTGCACATCATAAAAGTACCGTCATATTCACTGTGTGTTATCTTAGACATCCTGTCACAATTCTCTCGATGTTCTCTAAATGTAAAAATTCGAAGACCATTGAAATTTCTGTATAACATCCTTTGAAGTCGTCCTTTGTTTGTGTTGTGTACCCACCCCTCCACCTCTTATGTGTAGGGCCTGCCTTATGTTTTGGTAAATAAATAGAAGATATGTAAATATGCTGTGTATGTGTGTGTATCCTTGCCTTTAACATGACTACACGCTTACATAATTATGATAATTTCGCGTTTTATATGTTCGGCGATGTCTAACATCACTAACCACCAACCCACCCCCAACCTCTACATCCTTTTCCTTAGACTAAGACAAAATTTGAACCCCGCAAAATCAGCAGCCAGCAGCTCGATGCCTGAGCGTTATAATTTCTTTAACTAATTTCTTTGTAGACTACTTCTTCTTCTAAGGAGCGTGGAGGTCGGAAATAGGGGGTCACGGAATGTGAATAGTAAATCAGCATTGCGCTCTTATCTTTGGCGTAATTCTTAAGGGGCGTTGTTTTAAAGTTTTATACTATTTGGTAGTTTCATCGAATCGAGCTTAGCAGTATCAGCAGCCACGTTTTAGAAGAGCTTAAGCTAGTTGCCTGCCTGCCTTGCCTGTCATCTTCTCTACAATTCTCCATAGATATCCGCATAATTAGTTTGAGCGGGGCAAACTTCTTCGTATAGAAGTTTTACGATTAGTTCCTTTCTTCAGTAGTGGCATCTTGATTGAGTATAGGCGGGTAGTAGGCGGGTGTTGGGGCCGAGGATTGTCATTTCGTCCAGCAGCAACAACAGCTGCCGATTGAAAATTTGTGTAGCTATAGTTAAATAAATAATTAAAAGTTTTATGTACAAATTTTATACAAACATACATACATACCATTAGGTATATAGGGATTTGGTGGAAATAATTGAAACTATATATCAGTTGCCTGCAAAATTAGTTTTCCAAGGATTTGCAGATTTCTGCATGTTCCAAAAAAGGCGAGGACTTTTAATAAAATATTTTATTTGAGTTTCTATAATGTACTGAACATTTCATTTTTTCCTATTTATCTGCTAGCAGGGCGTTAAATTTCCCGTTTTTTTTTTTTTTTCTAAAAAATAGAAAATTTATTATTATTTTTTAAAACTACAATAACATATTACCCTGTCAGTCCTTCTCCTTCACTTTCTCTTTTAATATGACAAGTTAACCACTTTCCTTTTCAAAAATTTTGTTAGCAAATCTCCTTAAAATCGTTTAATTAAAATTTCAATAATTAGTCACACACAAGCCTACCTTATCCTTCAATTCACCACCTACCACCACCTGAATCTGCTTGAGACCAGCCAACCAGCCATCTTTCTTCCCAACTCCTCATTATCAATGTCATCAGCAACAAATTTCTTTACTAATTTTATTAAATATCCTTTTTGCTCCCTCCTCCTTGCCATTCCCGCTTTCAATTTGCCGTTTAGGACAAAAAAGGGTTTCGATTTTCTTAAGGAAGGATTTTGTTCTTTTAAGACCAATAAGGCGATGATTGTCTTGAATGGAAGGTTGCTGTGTCGAGAGGATGTGCTGTATATTTCCTTTAAAGACAATATTGAAAATACTTTGGCGTTATCTTTTGTAAAAGGGTTTTTTTATGGGAAATAGGGCTGAAGAATAATTGAAAAATAATTAATAGAAATTTGTAAGGGGTCTTTCAAACTTTCGTTGTTGTAGCAGTTTATATGAATATATTATTCCTGTTTAAATTCAATCTGGTTCTGTCTCCAAATTAAGAAATGTAACTACTTCCACTTAATTCTAATTTTTATTTCTAAAGAATGCCTTTTTCACTTTCATTCGAGGTTTTTGGGGAACAATATTTTCTAAAATTATTTTAGTTGTTACTTAAAAATATCTATTTGTTTAATTTAGCATATAAAAACCTGCTCTCTTAGCCATATCAGCAATTTTTTTAAATATTTTTTTCAGGCCTCTGCTAATTTAAATCGTATCATCATTTTGGAATGAATTCCATTTTTTTCTCTTTTTTGAATTGACCAATTTATGGCTCATATTGAAACGTGCTTCCCCATTTGTTGTTTCCCCTTCTCCTTGCATGCCCAACGACCACGTTAGACATAAGCACGCCGTTTCTTGCTTTACTAATGATAAGCAAAAGCAAACACGTTTTTTGTTTCTTCTTCATTTTCAATCCATTCACTTTCAATCGTATGCTCATCACATTGTGACGTTTTGTTGGCTTTGTCCATATTATTTACCTAAAATAAATAATGATTTACAATCGCAGTGACAGATAGTAGGTTGATTGATATTGAATACTATTTAACTACCTTTTGGGGTTCTGAGGGGAGGGTACATACATAAATATTTGTCTACAAACAATCATAAATAACATTGATTATGCATTTTTGACTGCTAACCACGTGTTTTACAAGAAAAAAATTCATTTGAAGATAAAGATTTTTTTCCATTTATTTCCATTTGCCGGTCACCTCCTCCTCCACCACCTTCCTCTTCCTTCTTCATTTTTTTCATTAGGTTATGCTTCTATGTAAATATTTTTATCTCCATGCTGAACTAAAATATAGAACAATTTCTATTAGTGGTTAATTTTTTTGCTCTTAAGTATATATAAAAATCCGTCTTTACATATTTACTTAAGAACATACAAAATCAACAACAACCCCTTGAGTTTTTGCTGATAAATGAATTGCGGTTGTTTCTTCAACGTCATTGAAAAATCCATTCAGACACACACGCACACGGGAAAATCAACCAAGCAACAATCAACCATTGACTACCGCAACAACCTCCAAAAATATGTTGGTGGTAAAAAGAGAGGCGCGGGGGGATGTCAAAATATTTAAAAAAGCAAAAAAAAATCAAAACAAAACTTGTTGGATGACCACGTGCGTGCCACCGCTTTCTTGCTTTTTTCTTCTTCATCATTTTTTTGCCTAAAGAATGCTGAAAATACACGAAAAAAATCAAACCATTAATAAATCCCCACTTGTTTGTTGTATTTTTTTCTACTTACTCTCTTTGATAAACAAATCCAAGCAAAAACAATCCCGCCATACACATTATAATAGGGAGAGAGAGGGAGCGAAAAAATGCCACTGTATTTTTTCCATTTCTCGTGCTCTCTCTCAGCATTTTTTTCCTATGTTAATGATTTGCAGGTTGTTTTTTTGCGGCATTTCTTTTGTTGTTGTTATTTTACACATTTTCTTTGCCACTTTTTTGTATATATTCTCTCACGTGTTTTTCTTTCCTTTGTAAAATATAACCAACCAAAAAAAAGTGGTTTTCCTTGGTGTGCTTGCTGGCTGTCACATATATTTGTTGTTGCCTGCCGCCCCCCATCATTGACTTTGGCGTCAATGTTAGGTTTTTTTCTGCTTTTGCTCTTCTTGTTGTTGTTATTCTTTATTCTGTCACATATATTTGTTGTTGCCTGCCGCCCCCATCTTTGACTTTGGCGCCAATGTTAGGTTTTTTTCTGCTTTTGCACTTCTTGTTGTTATTGTTCTTTTTTTTTTTGTATTACAATGTCTAGGTGGTTCTTCTTTTTGGTATTTACACATATTTTTGGTATTTATTTGCTTTTTATTTCCTTAATTAACATTTTTAATAAAGACGTGGCTTGAGGCGGTGGTATGTTCATTTTGGCGGTATATTAAGCTTCACTTAATGTTTGACATTGCTGCCGTTGTCAAATCAATGTGGGCTTTGGTGTTATCACACTACTGTGAATGACATTGCCGTTAAACAGCTGTTTAAAGCGGTCTTTTTGTATGGAAATAAATAAAAATGGGAATTTTTTATTTTTTATAAATAAAATTAATAAAAAAGTATTGAAATGGAATAATGAAAATATTGCAGTCTTATACGATCTGTTTTAGCGATATATTAAGCTTCTCTTAACGTTTGATTTACATTGCCGCCGTTGTCAAATCAATGTGGGCGCTTTAGTGTCATCACACTATTGTGAATGATATTGCCGTAGAAGAATTGTTTAAACTGATCTTTTTATATGGAAATGAATAAATAATTTTTTGTTTTTTTATAAATAAAATAATCAAAAAAGGATTAAAATGGAATATTAAAAATATTTGTAAGCTTTTTACAATTTATATTGGCGTTATATCAAGCTTCTCTTAACGTTTGATTGACATTACCGCCGTTATCAAATCAATGTGGACTTTAGTGTCATTGCACTATTGTGAATGATATTGCCGTAGAAAAGCCGTTTAAAGCGGTCTTTTTGTCTGGAAATGGATTAAAATGGACAAATTTTTGATTTTTTATAAATAAAATAAAGAAATAGAATTATTTAGAATTAATATTATAAATATTGCAGTCTTATACGATTGATTGCCATGACAAGCTTCTCTTTACGGTGGGTTGCCATTTCCGCGCCAAATTAGTGAGGGATTTAGTGTCATTGCACTATTGTGAATGATATTGCCGTAGAGGAGTTGTTTAAACTGGTCTTTTTTATATGGAAATGACAAAAATGGCCAAATTTTTGATTTTTAATAATAAAATAAAGAAATAGAATTATTTTGAATTAATATTAAAAATATTGCAGGTTTATACGATTTATTTTGGCGATATATTAAGCTTCTCTTTACGTTTGATTGCCATGGCCGAGTCAAATCCAATGCGGGCTTTTGTGTCATCACACTATTGTGAATGATATTGTCGTAGAAGAGTTGTTTAAACTGATCTTTTGATATAAAAATGAACAAAAATGGAAATATTGTTGATTTTTTATAAATAAAATAAGCAAAAAAGGATTAAACTGGGACATTTAAAATTTTATTGCCGTTTACAATTTAATTTGGCGATATATTAAGCTTCTCTTTACGTTTGATTGCCATGGCCGAAAATTTTGAATTTTCCTTAATAAAATAAATAAATACAACGATTTAAATGTAATATTAATATTATTGCAGGTCTTTTTTTTTTGTGAAAAAATATATTTTTAAGAGAGAAAAAATATAGAAAAAAATTCTTTATAAAGCAGAGATAGATAATGGGATTAAGTAGTTTTAAAAAGGCCTTCAAATATTTTTTAAATTGAAAAATCATCAACGATCGTGAGAATGTATATTGTATTTTATATTTTTATATAAAATTTTTATTAATTTATTAATTTTTATTCTTTTCTTATTTAACAGGTGGCGGTAAAGATTTAATCACAGCTGTTACCTATGCCAAAAAGAGTACAATTAAAAAACAAGGCACAGTTAATAATAATTCATTGTTAATATCAAATCAAACGGGAGCTGGATCGACGACAGCATTTAATCGCAGCATAATGCCCAAAAAGACACAAAGTCCGGCTGGTAAGGATTTTAACACTAAGAAATATATATATTTTTATATAGATTACTAATCATAATTTCCATAAAAAACTTTAATCTATTTAACCAAAAAACATGCTTCCGAATGGAATTTTTTTGAAAAAAAAAAATAGTTGGCATGCCTGCCCCAGGTGGTTCAAATGCCAGCCAGAATAATGAATCACTGTTTGGTGCTGGTGGTGGTGGTGCCGGCAGCAGCATGCCCACCTTAAATACCTCACAATTAATGGGTATGGCTGCCCTGGCAGCGGCCATGTTTAATGCCACAAGTGAAACCAACCCAGGTTCAAATCAAAATAATAACAACTTAAGCACTGCAACTGGTGGCCTAAGTGTTTTGGCTGGCCTACAGGCAGCCACAACCTCTGCGGCCTCAAGACAAATTCCATCCACAAATTCTGTTAGTTATCAAGCCAATCAAGCAGCGGGCCTTAATAAAGCCGCCTCTTTATTGGCCCAGAGTAAGTGTAGTATAATGTTGGTAACCATAGAGATTTTTTCTGATGCTGCAGATTCTCTTGATTTTTTTGAAATTGAAAAATTTTTGTTATGGAATTTTAAGTTTTTTGTGTTATTTAGAAATAATCCCCCCTCCTCTATTTTTTTTTTGTTAGATGATTTTCTTAGTTGTTCTTTAGTTTTCCACGGAAAAATCTATTTTTGGGTGATATAATTTTTGGCATTTGTTCATATTTTTATTTTATTTATGTTTGTCGTATTCCTTCTTTCGAATCCGTCCAAAACAATGATCATTTGTCAAAATCAATTTTTCAAAAATTCATCAACAGAGATGGGGTTTTGAAAACAAATGGTCGTAGACGTATAATACTTGGTTGTATGATATGAACTATTTAGATTTTATTTATTTTTTCCTGTCTCTATTTTTTTAATTAATTTAATTTTTTAATTAATTTAATTTTTTTAATTAATTTAATTTTTTTAATTAATTTAATTTTTTTAATTAATAAATTCTTGGCGGTTCATTTTTGCGGTATATTAAGCTTCACTTAACGTTTGATTGACATTGCCGCCGTGTCAAATCAATCAGGGCTTTGGTGTTATCACACAACTGTGAATGACATTGCCGTTACAGCTGTTTAAACAGAATTTTTTATGTAGAAATTAATTAAAATCGGAAATTTTTTGATTTTTTATAAATAAAATTAATAAAAAAATGGATTGTGATAGAATAAAATTAATGTTTTAATTTATAATTATTATTTTTTTTTATTTTTAATTTTTTTTTTTAATTTTCTGTTTTGACGGTATTCCAAGCTTCTCTTAACGTTTGATTGACATTCCCGCCGTGTTGTTAAATCAATGTGGGCTTTGGTGTTATCACATTACTGTGAATGACATTGCCGTTAAACAGCTGTTTAAACTGACCTTTTTTTATAGGGAAATTAATAAAAATGGGGCTATTTTTAATTTTTTATAAATAAAATAAATGAAAAAGGATTGAGATGGAATTAAATTAATGTTTTAATTTAAAATTATTTTTTTTTTAAATTTATTTTTAATTTGTAAAATTTTTATAATTATTTGTTTTTTCAAATTCCTTTTTTGATTTCTTCTAATGTTCTTTGTTTGTCTTATCCTTCTTCCCCTTTAGTGACCATGGGCTTGGGAAGTTTACAACCTGCCCCCACACCTGCTGCCAGTACAGGCCTATCGCCACAATCCAAAATGAATAATAATATGGTGTTGGAAAAAATTAAGGCCTTGGTGGCAGCTAATCCACAATTTTTGACCAGTGGTATACCCAATCATGTGCTGCAGCAGTTACTGATGCAGCCCATGAAGGTAGGTGGTAGCTTACAGGTTATAAAATGATCTTGGATTTAAATTTTTATTTTTTTTTGCATTTCCAGCAAGTCACACCTGCCCCAGTTATGGCCCAACCTGAAGAAGATGAGGCTGACTATGAAGAAATGGGTGTGGCCGAAACCTATGCGGAATATTGGCCAGCAAAGTGTAAGGATTTTTATTGATTTTTTTTTTTTGAAAATTATTCTAATTTTGATGTTTTTCTTTTTTAGTAAAACTGGGTAAAAAACATCCCGATCCGGTGGTTGAAACTGCCTCGCTGTCCTCTGTGGAACCCTGTGATGTTTATTATAAATTATCCATACCCCTGGATACCATACAAAGTGGCCAGCTGAGTGCATTGCAATTGGAGTCCATAACCTATGCCTCACAGGCCCATGATCATCTCTTGCCCGATGGTAGTCGTGCCGGTTTTCTAATTGGTGATGGTGCTGGTGTGGGTAAGGGTCGCACCATTGCCGGCATCATTTATGAAAACTATATGAAGGGTCGGAAAAAGGCCCTGTGGATTTCCGTCTCCAATGATTTGAAATATGATGCGGAGAGAGATCTCAGTGATATTGGGGCCACCAAAATTGAGGTCTATGCTTTGAATAAGGTAAGGCGAATTTATATTAAATTCCGTTCTTTATTCTTATTGAAATTGGTATTTTTTGTTTCCCCAGTTCAAATATGCCAAAATCAATTCGGAAATAAATAACAATGTGAAAAAGGGTGTCATCTTCAGTACGTATTCCGCTCTGATTGGTGAATCGAATAACAAGACTGGTAAATATAAATCAAGACTTAAACAATTGCTGCAGTGGTGTGGTGAAGATTTCGATGGCCTGATCATTTTTGATGAATGTCACAAGGCGAAAAATCTATGTCCCGTGGGTTCGGGTAAACCCACAAAGACCGGTCAAACGGTATTGGAATTACAAAATAAATTACCAAAAGCCCGTGTGGTATATGCCTCGGCTACTGGTGCCTCGGAACCCAAGAATATGGCCTATATGGTGCGTTTGGGTTTGTGGGGTCAGGGTACAGCATTTCCAACATTCAATGATTTCATTGCCGCTGTGGAGAAGAGGTATGAGAGGGAATTTAAATTAAAAAATGTTTGAGGTTATAATTTTCTTTTTTTGCAGAGGTGTCGGTGCCATGGAAATCGTGGCCATGGACATGAAGCTGCGTGGCATGTACATTGCCCGCCAACTAAGTTTCCATGGGGTCACGTTTAAAATTGAAGAAGTGCCCCTGTCCAAAGAGTTTAGACGGATCTATGATGAATCGGTTAGATTGGTAAGGACTTCTACTCTCTCTTTTTACGGGAATTTTAAGAGATTCTCCCTCTCTTTCCCTATTTTTTATGAGATTTTAATTTATTCTCTCATTCTCCCCCTCATTAGTGGGTTGAGGCCATGCAAAAATTCATTGAAGCCGCCGAATTAATTGATGCCGAGAGCCGCATGAAAAAGACGATGTGGGGTCAATTTTGGTCAGCCCATCAGCGTTTCTTTAAATATCTCTGTATTGCCGCCAAAGTTAATCACGTGGTACACATTGCCCGCGAGGCAATTAAATATGGTAAATGTGTGGTCATAGGTCTACAATCCACGGGTGAGGCCCGCACCTTGGAACAATTGGAAAGGGAGGATGGTGAATTAACGGATTTTGTATCCACCGCCAAGTAAGTACATTTTAGAAAAAAAAATTAAATATATTTCAATACTTATTTTTTAACATTTTAAAATTAAAAAAAAATGAAGTCTTCAAAAAAAAATATTTGATATTTTTCAAAAATTATTTGAACATTTTCAAATATTATTTGAAACATTTCGAAAAAAATTTAAATTTTTCGTTTTATGTTTATTTTGGCGGCCTATCAAGCTTCTCTTAACGTTTGATGGACATTGCCGCCGTGACAATCAATGTGGGCTTTGGTGTTATCATACCACTGTGAATGACATTGCCTTAAAACAGCTGTTTAAACTAACCTTTTTTATATTGAAATGAATGAAAATTGGAAATTTTTTTTATCTTTTTTTGAAAATTTGTTTTCAAAAATTTTGAAAAAAAATTAATTTTTTTGATTTTTTTTTTAAATCAAAATCAATTATTTCTTATTTTTTCCAGGGGCGTTTTCCAATCTCTAGTCGAAAAACATTTCCCTGCACCCGATCGCAATCGCATAAATCGCATTTTGGGTCTCTCCGACGCGGATACCAGCCGATCTAATATTCAATCGATTATTGCCAAAGTCAAGGCAGCCAATCGGCATCGCAACGATGCCTCATCATCGGCGGCAAACAAACGTAAATCATCCCGGCCAGACCTGGTGGGTAATAGTAAAAAATCTCGCCAGGATTCATGGGATAAAGATGACTCGGACTCGGATGACGACAACGACGATGATGACGATTCCGATAAAGACTCCAATAAAGATTCCGATAAAGATGAAAATGATTCGGATATGAAAAATTCCGATTCTGAAGATTCCGATACTGGGAATCATAGTGATAGTTATGATTCGGAATCAGATTTTAATCCCTTTGGAGCAAGTGGTTCGGATTCGGATACAGATCCATGGTTGGCGCGTGCCAAAAAGAAGAAAAAGAAGGTTAAGGCCAAGGAGAAGGAGAAATCATCAGCATCTAAGGCCTCCTCCACGTCCAGCACAATAGCTTCTTTGACCACCCAGAGTAGTAGCTTTTCCTCAACGCTCAGCAATAGCTTTAACATCTCACCACCCAACAAGAAGAAGACACCTGTTTCGACGCAGGACAAAATTCAGGATCTACTGCAAAAGAAACAGGAACTGAAGGGCACTGTGACACCCATTGGCGTGCATGGTGTTAAATTGAATTATGGCCCACCACCCAAAGATGCCATTGAAAAGGCCTGCTCGATGAAAGAGGAGCTGCTAAGGAAAATAGAACTGCTGGGAGAACGTCTGCCACCCAATACCCTGGATCAATTGATTGATGAGCTGGGTGGACCGGATAATGTGGCCGAAATGACTGGCCGCAAGGGCCGTGTTGTCCAGTCCGATGATGGTTCCATACAATATGAATCCCGATCCGAATCCGATGTCCCGCTAGAAACCTTGAACATAACCGAAAAGCAACGTTTCATGGATGGCACCAAAGATGTGGCCATTATCTCCGAGGCTGCCTCCAGTGGTATTTCATTGCAAAGTGATCGCAGGGTACGCAATCAAAGGCGGCGTGTACACATCACCTTGGAACTGCCCTGGTCAGCTGATCGTGCCATCCAGCAATTTGGTCGTACTCACCGTTCGAATCAGGTCAATGCCCCGGAATATATTTTCCTTATCTCTGATTTGGCTGGTGAGCGACGTTTCGCTTCGACCGTGGCCAAACGTTTGGAATCGCTGGGCGCCCTGACGCATGGTGATCGTCGTGCCACCGAGACACGTGATCTCTCCCAGTTCAATATAGATAATAAATATGGCCGAACGGCCCTTGAAACTGTGATGAAAGCCATAATGGGCTATGAACAGCCTTTGGTGCCACCACCCACCGATTATCAGGGGGAATTCTTTAAGGACATTGCCAAGGCTCTGGTGGGTGTGGGCATTATTGTGCAGAGTGAGACGACACCGGGTCTGCTGAGTCTCGACAAGGACTACAATAATATTTCGAAATTTCTGAATCGAATATTGGGTATGCCTGTGGATTTGCAGAATCGCCTCTTTAAATATTTCACCGATACCCTAACGGCCATCATAAATCAGGCAAGGAAGAATGGTCGCTTTGATTTGGGTATTTTGGGTAGGTTTAGAACTCTTCAAAAAATCTATTTCAAAAATTCTAAAAAAATCTTCCTTTTATTTGCAGATTTGGGTGCTGCAGGTGAGAATGTGACCCGTGTCAAATTGATCCGCTTCATACGCAAACATGCCACCGGCAAGGCTCCCGCAGAACTGCACACAGTGCGTGTGGAAAGAGGCATGATTTGGCAGGAGGCCATTGAGAAGTGAGTAACGTATAGAGAAATTCCCAAAATGGAATTCCCAAAGGAGGGCCAACGACACCCGCCCTCTTTTGTATCCCCTTTCAAATTTGGAACCTCATAATAATTTATTGTCTCTCTCTTTCCCATTTAGATATGCCGATCTAATTGGCGAACACGAAGGCTTCTATCTGTCGCATCAGGTACGCAATAACAAACGTACCGCCATCCTGGCCGTTGAATTGGAAAATCAACCGCAAAGCAACCTGCAAAGCAGCAAGAAAAAAGATCCAGCCGGCGGTAAATCGTCGAGTAAAAAAGATATTATGTTCCAAATCTATCGTCCCAATACGGGCCTGCAGGTACGCCACGAATCGTTGGCCGAAATCGAAAAGAAATACAAAAAGGTCACAATGTCCGAGGCGGAGAAACATTGGACCGAACAGTATGATGCTTCGGTAAATACCTGTTCGCATGCCTATTGGAATGGCAATTGCAGGAATGTTAGCATGGGTTCGGAGTGTGAGGTGAGTTTAAAATAGTCTCCAAAGGCAGTTTTTTTTCTATAGGAAAAAATCTGCAAGGACATTTTTTCGATAGAAAATATTGCCAAAGAATATTTTTGGAAGCAAAAAAGTCTCCAAAGTCATTCTTTTTAAAGGAAAAAGTCTCCAAAGTCATTTTTTCCAAAAAGAAAGTCTTCAAAGACATTTATTCTAAAGAAAAAAGTCTCCAAAGACAATTTTTCTGAAGAAAAAGTCTCCAACGTAATTTTTCCTAAAGGAAAAAAGTCTTCAAAGGCAATTCCCAAAGAAAAAAGTCTCCAAAGTTATTTTTTCTAAAGGAAAAAAGTCTCCAAAGGAATTTTTAAAATGAAAAAAGTCTCCAAAGGTATTTTTCCTAAAGAAAAACGTCTCCTATGACATATTTTCGAAAAAAAATGTCTCCAAAGGCATTTTTCCTGAAGGAAAAATGTCTCCAAAGACAAATTAATATGAAAAAAGTCTCCAAAGGTATTTTTCCTAAAGAAAAACGTCTCCTATGACATATTTTCGAAAAAATGTCTCCAAAGTCATTTTTTCTGAAGGAAAAAAATCTTCAAAGGAATTTTTCCTAAAGGAAAAAGTCTCCAAAGTCATTTTTTCTAAAGGAAAAAATCTCCAAACTAACCTTTATAATGAAAAAAGTCTCCAAAGGCATTTTTCCTAAAGAAAAACATCTGCAATGACATATTTTCGAATGAAAAAGTCTCCAAAGGCATTTTGTCTAAAGAAAAATTGTCTTCGAAGATTTATTTTCTAAAGAAAAAAGTCTCCAATGGATTTTTTCTAAAAGAAAATGTCGGCAAAGTACTTTTTTCGAAAGGAAAAAGTCTCCAAAGTATTTTTTTCTAAAGGAAAATAGTCCCCCAAGGGGTTTTCTTAAGAAAAAGTCTCCAATGATACTTTTCTAAAAAAGTCTCCAAAACCTTTTTTCCAAAGGCGTTTTTTTTAAGAAAAACAGTCCCCGAATGTTTTTTCCCCCAAAGAAAAAAGTCTCCAAAGGCAGTTTTTTTGAAAGGAAAAAGTCTCCAAAGACAGTTTTCCAAATAAAAAAGGTTTTATAACACAATTTTATTATTTAATTATTTTATCAAAAACAAATTCTCAAATTTCATCTTTTTCGTAATTAATTCTGATTTTTTCTCTTTCCTCTATTCCAGGTTGGTTTACGCCAACGTTTATATAATGTTTTGGCCGGTTCCGTGCTGTCAGTGTGGGCTCGGGTCGAACAAATTCTCGCAATGCGCAATGCCAACAATAAAATGCAAGTTATTCGCATGAAGACCACAGAGGGTGAGAAAATCGTCGGAACCCTTATACCGAAGTCATGTCATGAGCTATTGATACAAGATCTGAAATCCGATGCGGATCGTGTTGAAGAAGTGAACTTCTAAACAAAATACGACACACAAACAAACAAAGCCAAAAGTCTAGCGACTTTTTTTGTTTGGACACACAATGGGTTAATAATATACAATTTGAAGTTGTATAAGAGATGAAAAAACAAAATATGGAACCGAAAAAATGTTGAATTGTTACCCATTATTATAATTATAACAGCAAAAAACAAACCAAAACGACGCTTAATTTATGGACTTTAATTTTTCGTTTAAGTTTTTCTTTCCTATCTCCCCCGCTTCTTTTTAATTTTTTTTTTATAAAAATGTTTTGCTATTATTTTTATGAAGAAAAAAAAAAAACAATAAATTTATCCACAAAAAAAGAAAAAGAACTATTAAAAAAACTTATATATATGACTTTTATAATTATACCTATACATATAATTAATTATAATTAATATTTAATTATAATACTTAATTATAAATATAAAAAAACTCATTACAAAACACAAAAAAAAAATCAGAAATGAAAAAAATCACTCACACACAAAAAGAATGATATTCAAAATACAAAAAAAAACTAAATGAATATTTGAAAAATTAACTTAAAAAAATCACAACAACATTGTTTATAAAAACAAATACAACAACATATATTGCAAATGTTTGGTCAAATAAAATTATTTTTTAGAACTTTTTTTTGAGATGTAATTGAAATTTTTCTAGAGAAAAAGGTCTCCAAAGGCAGCTTTTCTAAAGGAAAAAAGTCTCCAAAGACATTTTTTCGAAAGAAAAAGTCTCCAATGGATTTTTTCCAAAAGAAAAAATCGCCAATGTCTAAAGGAAAAAAGTCTCCAAAGTATTTTTTCTAAAGAAATAAAGGTTTCTACAGAAAAAAGTCTCCAAAGGCATTCTTCTACAGAAAATAAGTCTCCAATAGACTTTTTTCTAACGAAAAACAGTCTCCAAAGGAATTTTTTCGAAAGAAAAAAGTCTCCAAAGGCGTCGTTTGAAGCGAAAAAGTCTTTAATAGCTTTTTTCTAAAGAAAAACAGTCTCCAAAGGCATTTTTCTGAATAGAAAAGTTTCCTAAGGTTTTTTTTCGAAAGACAAAATTACCTTTTTTTCTAAAAAAAAAATTCTCCAAATCCATTTCTTTCGAAAAAATGTCAAAGGCTTACGACTTCCATAAAACACGGTCTCCAATGACCTTTTTTCTAAAGAAAATTACATATTTTCGAAGAATAAAATTCTCCAAAGGCACATTTGTAAAGAAAAAATTCTCCAAAACAGTGTCCAATGCCATGTCCAAAGGAAAAAAAGAGTCTCCAAAACCATTTTTCATAAAAAAACACTTCAAAGGTTTCTGATTTTTTAGTGGAAAATATTCTCCAAAGGCATTTTTCTAAAGAAAAAAATCTCCAAAAAATCAAAAAAAAAAAAGTTCTAAAAAATTCTTTTACAAAATTATTTCCAATAATAATTAAAACAAAAAAACCAAACCATTTAATAATGATAATGAATGAATTTTTTATTTCAATAATTTATATACAAACATTTCGTTATCGTTTCCAAGTTTTATAAAAACACACACACAACAACAACCATAAGAATAACTATTTGTTTTTTCACACACAATTTTTCTTATTTCTTTATTTTAATGATTATTGTAATGTGAATTCAAAACATTTCAAATTTTGTTTATTTATTTTTAAATAAGATTATTTTCTTTATAAAAAAACACACACACCTACATACATATATTTTTAAGTACTTTATTATTTTCTGGTAGTCTGTACTATGTAGTTTTGTAGAAAATTTCGCAAAGAAATTAAAAAAAAGCAAAAAAAATCACAACAAGAAAAACAAATATTTTATGTTTAATGTAAATGTACATTAATTTAATATAACAAAACAAACAAAAAAACACAAATGAATATTGAAATAATAAAAACAGAAAATTTAGAAAAAATATAACGGTTTTTTATTAAAAAAAAACAACATAATCTAACATTTTTATTAAGGTCAAAATATGTTTTGTTAAAACAATTTTATACAGATGGTAATTTTTATACACAAAAATCCAAAATTTTGTATAAAATTTTTCAATTTTTTTTATAAAAACTCCAAATTTTTTTCTTTAAAAAAGTTCCAATTTTTTTCTATAAAAAAATTCCAATTTTTTTCTTTAAAAAAATTCCAATTTTTTTTTTCTATAAAAAAATTCCAATTTTTTTTTTCTATAAAAAAATTCCAATTTTTTTCTATAAAAAATACCATTTTTTCTATAAAAAATTCCAAGTTATTTCTATAAAAAAATTCCAATTTTTTTAAAAAAAATTCTTTTCTATTTTCTAGTTTTTTTATAAAAAATTCTATTTTTTTTTTAAAAAAATTCCAATTTTTTTCTATAAAAAAAGTTTTTCCTTAAAAAATCAATTTGTTTAAAAAATCCCAATTAAAAAAATCCAATTTTATTTTAATTTTTTTTCTATATAAAGAATTTTCCCCATAATTTATTCTTACATATCTAGTGTTCGTCTTCGAATTATCGTCGTTACAATTTAAAACCCGAATGTATACTAACAACGCCGAATGTCAAATTCTCATAACGCACCATACTAAAACCGGCATCCACGATCATTTGTTTGAAATCCTCCTGCTTGGGAAATTTGCGTATACTTTCCACCAAATATTGATAGGGTTGCCATTGGCCAGCCAATATTTGGCCCATGGGAGGGATGACATTAAACGAATATTGATCGTAAAGCCATTGCAGTGTATTGCTGTTTAAATGGCTAAATTCCAGGCACATAAAACGACCACCTGGCTTCAGGACACGATAGGCTTCACTGAGGACCTAAGAAAAACAAAAAAAATTACATTATATATTTGGGACTATTGGAAAATCTACTGCCCATCCTCTTACCTTATCAATGTGTGTACAATTTCGAATACCAAATGCAATTGTATAGGAATTATATGAATTATCGGCAAATGGCAATTCCTCAGCATTGGCACATTTCCATTCAATGGTCATATTTGCCAATTTCTCTTCGGTAAGTCCTAATTTTTTGGCCCGCTCCTCGCCGACATTTAACATATGTTGATTTATATCCGATACGGTGACATGACTTTTTAAACCCTTTGGATTTGCTTGATTTTGTAAATATTTAATAAAACGAAATGAAATGTCACCGGTGCCACCGGCCATATCCAGATGGCAGGTACCATGCTGTGGACCCAAACGTTCAATAAACATATCTTTCCAGACACGATGTATGCCCATGGACATGGCATCGTTCATAATGTCATAGGATTTGGCAACATCTTCAAAGACTTTGTGGACTATCGGAAAGAAAAAAATATTGAATTATCCTGACATGTGTGGTCTAAATGAAATATTCCACCTACCCTTTTCCACCTTTTCACTTTCCTTGACGGTTTGAAAACCAAAATGTGTTGTGCCCTCTTCACCCGTTGTTGTGCCAGAATTTGTTGTGGCCTGTGATGTTTGCCATCTTACAGAGGCCCTTTGGAATCTACGTGGACCTTGTCTTAACTGGGCCAAACAAAGGTTGCGTGTTATATTCATTGTTTTAAATTAAATGAAATAATAAATTAAAATTAATTAATGCGTTGTGTAAGACAGACAACCCAAAACAACTCAACGTTTATGGGGACAGCTGATTTCTAACAAGAGGCGTTCTATATGTTTTGAGTTAATTCACAATAACCATCAGCTGAACCTAATGAACCGACCAAATTAAAAAACGTTCCACACTAGTTGCCAACCAGCCACAACAAATGTCGTAAAGTTAAAACGAATGAACCAACCAAATTGAAAATCGTTCCTCAACGTTTGCGAAACAGTTGATTTCTAATGACTATCTTTGATGGGAGAAGGGATGAGGATGCAACAACTCAAAAGGCCTCTAAAAGCGGGCCAACCGATGTTTTCAAGTAGAAGGGGAAGGCCACGAATTGATGGAAAGAACAAGTGGAAGACAACATCTCGGAAAATGGTCCTTTTCAATTTCCTCTAATTCGATTTTTTATGTTTTATATTTCAAATATTTTATCTTATTTAGTATTTTATTTCATCTTATAATAACTTAATAATATTCGACATTTGTTGTTGTAGATTTTCCTCACAAGTATCTACATTAATTTCTATATCTACTCGTGGCTCCAGCTGAATTTCTCCTCCTCCCTCCTCCACCTCCTGCTGTCTTAATTTCTTATAATGCTCATCCCATAAATGTTGCTGTAATTCAGCATGATATTTATATGCCATGGGACATTCGCTGCACCTGTATGTCTTCTCACCGATATGCGTTCTCAAATGTTTGTTAAGATCTCCCGACTGGGCATAGGCCCGGTCACAGTATTGACACTTGTAGGGTTTCTCGCCGGTGTGGGTTCGATAGTGTCTACGCAACTGATCGGCGTTGACAAAACTTAAAATAAAACAATATTTTGAAAAATTTCGAATATTTGAATTATACTTTTCCCCCACAACTTACCATCGATCACACTGATCACATGCATGTGGCTTGATGCCTTCATGTTTGGCTTTGTGTGCCTTCAGCGTGGACGCCCGCGTATAGCGTAAACCACAAATATCACAAACATGATCTTTGCTATTCGTATGTGTCTGGACATGTTTGTGCAGATCTACACGACACTTAAAACGACCCGGGCACTGTTTGCAGGCATATTTCTTTTCACCCTTATGTCGCTCCATGTGTTGTTGCAAACTGCTCAGCGAGCTCAAATTTTTACCACATTTACTGCACGTGAACTGTTCCGCAACACTGTGTACACTCATCATATGCTCCCGAAGTTCGGTTTTATTAGAGGTCATCTGTTGGCATATGAGACACACGAAATTCTTGATGCCACGATGTCGATTCAAATGTTCCTGCAGTTGAGCCTTCAAAATAAACGTCTTTTCACATTGATCACATTTATACCGTTCCCTATCGGGGTGGTCTTTGGTAATGTGCCGGGATAGCGCTGCTGAGGTCAGAAAGTGACGATTACATGTTTCGCAGGGATAATAGGCCACATACTTTTTGCTGCTCGATTCAGGAACTTTTCGCACATGTACTTGCCAGTGATGTACGCCTAGGGACGATCTGGTCTCAAAACGTCTGGTACAATTGGGACATTGAAAACCATTGTTTGCTTTTTGACTGTCATGTTTTAGCATGTGACTTTTCAGTTGATGAGCAAATAAATAACGATTTTTACATTGGGTACATTCAAAGGGTCTATCGGGGGAATGCAGCGGCTTGTGACGTTCTAAACGAAACAAACTTCCGAGATTTCGTCCGCAAATTTCACATGGGTACTGACGTCTTATGTAGGATGGTCGGGGTCTGAAAGAAAAAAAAAAAATAAATTAGAGATGAGAGAATTAAAATTATAAAATTTCAGCCAATTCGGTTGGAAAGCGAATCCTTAAATATCGGAATATTTGAGGTTATGTTGTATGGGGGCTATACCAAAAAATTAATAGATTTTTATAAGATTTTGTAGAGAGATTCCCTAACCCTTGAGAACCCTAAATAACAAATTACAATCAAATCGATTGAAAAATGTGGCTAAAATGACGAAATTCGGCAGATCGGTTTATGGGGGCTGTACCAAAATTGGACCCATTTTGACTATTTTTGGTAGGTAGGTGTTCTATCCCATGTAAATCCTAAATATCAAATAACCAATTCGGTTGGAAAATATGCCTAAAATCCTTAAAGATCCTGAAATTTGAGGTAATGTTGTATGGGGGCTACATCCAAAGTTGGCCAAATATTGATTATTTTTGTTGGGAAGGTTGTCTACACCATGAGAACACAAAATATCAAATTGCAGACAATTTGGTTGGAAAATGTGCCCAAAATCCTTGAAGATCCACAAATTTAAGGTTATGTTGTATGGGGACTATACCCAAAGCTAGACCAATATTGATCATTTTTGGTAGGTAGGTTGCCTACCCCATGTAAACTTTAAATATCAAGTTACAACAAATTCGATTGGTAAATGTGGCCAAAATACCGAAAATCGGAAAACGGTTATATGGAGACAATACCAAAAGGTGAACCCATACCGACTAATTTTGGTAGATAGGTTGTGTTCCTCATGAGAACCCAAAGTATCAAATTACAGCCAATTCGATTGGAAAACCAGCCCATAATCCTTGAAGATCCGAAAATTTGAGGTTATGTTGAATGGAGGCTATACTCAAAGTTTGACCAATATTGACTATTTTTGGCAGGTAGGTTGTCAAGCACATGCGAATCCTAAATATCAAATTACAGACAATTTGATTGGAAATAATGCATAAAATCCCTAAAAACAAAAAAATAGGAGGGTATCGTTGTATGGACGCTAAACAGGATATAGCAGGGAAGCTTTTTGCATTCTAAAAACTGCAAAGATCATAGTCAGAACATAGACAAATCATGGTCTAATATACTTCTCAATTTTTCCTGGGCCAGTAATAACAAAATCTTCATCATTGGTGGCATCCTTTCCATCGTCATCATCATCATCCCTGGAAAAAAGATTTACGTTAACATGATTATATTCATTTTTACAATACTCAAACTTACTCATCTTGCGAATCTGATTCTCCTTTATTGTTTATCATTTCCATGGCCTTGGGTTTTTCGACTTCTTCCACCTTGGTGTCCTGTGTGTTATGCTGAGTAAAAATATGATGACGATATCGTTCGACGGTCTCAAAACGATATTTACAAATGTTACAGGCAAATGCATGATTCGGATCGTGAAACAACAAGAAATGTCTTTTTAAATTAAATTTACTGAAAAATCGTTTTTTGCATGACGGACAGGGAAATGTTCCGCTGGCATTATTACGCCTTCCTCTTTTAATGAGTAATCTGTGAAAAGGGAATTAAAAAGGAAATTTTCGATTTATTTTCATTTCGAAATTAAACTGAACTTACTTGTTTCTATTATATGTGGTCCCTTGGGGGTCTACGCTTTTAATTTCTTCATTGGTTTTTATTTCCTTCGTCCCTTGAGGTCCTTCTTCACTTTCGAACTCTTCATTTTCAATTTCGTTTTTGATAATCAATTCGCCTTCCGTTACAGTCGCCATGTTGGTGGTGGAGGTGGCGCTGGCCTGTGGTATTGCTGAATGTTTCTTCGAGTGCAGGACAAGCGATGATTTTTCCCAAAAAATTTGTAGGCAATCGGGACATTGAAAATGACCTTTGTTGGCCGTATGAAACAATAACATGTGGCGGCGTTGTGCCCTCTCTGAATCAAACCTGTATGTACACAAACGACAGGAAAATGGTGCCGTCGGATCATGTAACTTGTTATGTCGTTTTAAACTAGGTGCACTACTAAATGTACGCAAGCATATCGGGCAGATATGAACACGTTTGCTGGATGTTCTTTGAATACTGGCCATAGGCAGCAGCTCATCTTGCTTCTGAGTTGTAGTAAAATTTCCTTCATTACTGTCCAGCCAATTAATATCGAATTTTATATTTAACTCTTCCATGGGCATTACAGAATCTTGGTTATTATACACATCCTCCTCCTGCTTCTCCTCCTCTTCTTCTTCGTCATCCAAATCCTGTTTTATTATGACATTTTTTCCATCTATAATGGATTCTATGAGCACTCTATCCTCCGGTTTAAGCGATGCCAGTAATTTTCGATGTGATTCGATACACAACTGGTGGAAACGATGACAGTAAAGTAGCATATCATAACAATCCTGACAGATTTGTTGACATTGCTGAAGAATTTCGTTTTTAATTTTCAATTGTGGCAATATTGTATCTAACATGTCTAAAATCTTGGAGTTCTCTTCTTCAATATAGTGGTCGAGTGGAAGATATAACTGGCTGTCATTCTCACGGAGACATGTACGACATTTTTGGACATCGGGCGGAGGCATTTTGGTTTGGTGAATGGGTTTTGGTTGAAAAGGTTTTAATTTTGTTTTTGGTATATGAAGATTGCAGCGAAGCTGAAAGGAAAAAAATTCTAAGTATTCACGATGACGTTCTTATAAATTATTTAAACATATTAAATCTTACATTAAATATTCCCTTCTCCTATCCCATGAATTCCAATTCTCAATTCGTGTCTGGATTCGATCGACACTTCTTCCTGTATCAGCCTTTAACACAACGCACCGGCCAAATTTAAAAACGTTCCACATAAATAAACTGAAAGAAGTAGATTAAACAATGAAATGCCGAAGTATATACGATGGCCCTCTCATAATTATTATTCTTTCAAAATATTAAAATTTGCCTTAAATAATCTCTACACCTGTCCAATGAATTCGAATTCGTAAGTGGAGTCAATCAAAACGTACTGTGTCAGCCTTTAACTCAACGAACCGGCCAAATTTGAAAACGTTCCACATGATATATGATTTAATTGTTTTTAATCAGCTGATTGGCATTTTGTTATGTCTCTTTTATTATGCTTCACATGCATTCGTAAACATTATATGTCTCCTTCCATTTTGTTTTGGTCTTGGTTTTTATCAGTAATTTTGTTTTGTGCACACCATCCTCCTTTTAATTTTTTTAATAGCATGTGGAACGTTTTTAAATTAAGGTAGGTTCGTAGTGACAAAGCTGAGACAGGAAGTTTTTTGATTGACTCCAGTCAGGAATTGGACTTCATTGGATTGGAATAGAGATTATTTAAGGTAATAGCTAAAAAATTGGCTATGGAAGGAGCATCCTGATGATCGATAGACTAAATACATCGGATTTTTATTGCTTAATTTACTTTCTGCTTCGTTGCAATCTTTATATAGCATTTGGAACGTTTTTAATTTTGGCCGGTGCGTTGTGTTAAAGGTTGAGACAGGAAGTTTCTATTGACTGCAGGCACGAATTGGATTTCATTGGATAGTAAGATTTAATATATTTTAATAATAATTATGAGAGGGCTGTCATATATACTTCAGCATTTCATTGTTTAATCTACTTCTTTCAGTTCCTCTATGTGGAACGTTTTTAAATTTGGCCGGTGCGTTGTATTAACGGCTGAAACAGGAAGGATGTTTTGATTGACTCCAGGCATGAATTGGGCATTGGAATTCATTGGAGAAGAGTAGAGAATATTAAAGGTAAGATCTAAGAGCATTATTTATGAGAGGTTAGTCGTAAATTCTTAGGGGTTTTCTTTATTTCCTTTCCAGCTTCGTTGCAATCTTCAAAATGCCTCCACCCGATGTCCAAAAATGCCGTACATGTCTCCGTGAGAATGACAGCCAGCAATATTATCCACTCAACCACTATATTGAAGAAGAGAACTCCAAAATTTTGGACGTGATAGATACGATATTGCCACAATTAAAAATTAAAAACGAAATTCTTCAGCAATGCCAACAAATCTGTCAGGATTGTTATGATAAGCTGCTTTATTGTCATCGTTTCCACCAGTTGTGTATGGAATCACATCGAAAATTGCTAGCATCGCTTGAAACGGATGGTACAGTGCTCTTAGAACCCGTGATAGATGGTACAAATGTTATAATAAAACAAGATGTGGAGGAGGAGGAGGAGCAGCATGATGATATGAATGATAACCAAGAAGCTGTAATGCCCACTGAAATGTTGACTATAAAACCAGAAATTGATTGGCTGACTTATTATAAAAATGTTGCTACTCAAATACAAGTTAAGCCAATTATGCCGAATACTAAAAACACTTCAGCAGCCAATACAACAAGTAAGAGTGGCCATATCTGTCCGTTGTGCTCCCGCTCCTTTGGTACTGCAGCTAATTTACGCCGCCATAGCAAATTACATGACCCGACCGCTCCATATACCTGTACTGTTTGTACATACAGGTTTGAAACGGAGAAGAAACAACTACGTCATATAGCAATGTTTCATAATGGAAGCCTGCGGGAAGGTCATTTTCAATGTCCCGATTGTCCAAAATTTTTTTGGGAAAAATCATCGCTAGTACTGCACTCGAAGAGACACAATCCACTAACACAGTCAGCCAGCGTCACCATCACCACCAAGACTTTAACAGAATGCGGCGAATTGGATATCAAAAAAGAATTGGAAAATGAAGAATTCCTCAATGTAACACAGGAAATTGCCTCGGTGTCCAGCACATCTAATGTAGCCAAGTAAGTTTAAGTTTGATTTTGAAGTGAAAATCGGGTTTCTTTACAATTTTCTTTTATTTTTTGCAGATCAGCCTCTAAGAGATCGAAAAAATATATTTCCTGCAAGGAATGCAATAAAACTCTTTACAGTAACCATAATTTAAACAGGCATTGCATGCAGGTGCACAACAAGAATCATCCATTTGCATGTGAAATGTGTAACTATCGTTTTGCTACGATAGAACAATATCGTCTCCATATGCTTAGACAACATAGGGAAAAATTCTCCAAATTGGAATTGGAAGAGCACTCAAAGATAATTGAAAGGGCAAAAAATGATAAAGAAGTAGAATCAGAAGAATCAGATGATGAGTATGTTTTGATTAGTGGGTACATGTGGATATAAATAATGTTGAACATATAAATTCTTTTTGTTTTTCAGTGATGATGAGGAGGATGACGATGGAGAGGATGCCACCAACAATTATACTGGCTCAGGAAAAGTTGAAAAGTATATTAACCCAATGTTTTTTTTTTAATTTTTTACATATCTCCAGGGTAATTATAGGCTCACCAAACAATACCCTAAAATGTTTACGGGTTTTTGGGACTTTTTCCAACGGAATATGCTGTAATTTGCCATATAGTCCCCATACAACATAACCTCAAATTTTGGGATCTTTAAGGATATTGGACACATTTTCCAACCGAATTAGCTGTAATTTGTTATATAGGGTTCTCAAGGTATAGACAATCTTCCTAACAAAAATAATCGATATTGGTCCAACATTGGGTATAGCCCCCATACAATATAACGTCTAATTTTCGGATCTTTAAGGATTTTGAACACATTTTCCAACCGAATTGGCTGTAATTTCATATTAAGGGTTTACATGGGGTAGACAACTTTCCTACCAAAAACAATCAATATTGGTCCAACATTGGGTATAGTCCCCATACAAGGATACCCTCCGATTTTTCTAATTTTTAAAGATTCTGGGTACATTTTCCAATCGAATTGGCAGCAATTTGCTATTTAGTGTTCTCATGGGATAGACAACCTTCCTACCAAAAATATTATAAAAATCGATTCAATTTTTGGTATAGCCCCCCTAACAACATAACCTCAAATTTTCGTGTTTTTCGAGATTTTTGGCTCACTTTCCAATTGAATTGGCTGTAATTTGCTATTTGGGGTTATCATGGGATATACTATCTTCCTACCAAATATAAAAATCGTTTCATTTTTTGTTGTAGCTCCCATACAACATAACCTCAAATTTTCGTGATTTTCGAGATTTTTACCTCACTTTCCAATCGATTTGGCTGTAATTTGTTATTTGGGGTTCTCAAGGGGTAGACAACCTTCCTAACAAATATTATAAAAATCATTCCATTTTTTATAGCCCCCTTACAACATAACCTCAAATTTTCGTGTTTTTCGAGACTTTTAGCCCGCTTTCCAATCGATTTGGCTGTAATTTGTTATTTGGGGTTCTCAAGGGGTACACAACCTTCGTAGCAAATATTATAAAAATCGTACCATTTTTTTTTTCTTTTTTTTTTTGTATAGTCCCAATACAACATAACCACAAATTTTCGGATATTGATATTTAGGGTTCTCATGGTATATATCAGTGTCCCCTATAATTTTAAATTCCTTGTGCTTCTTCTTTCAGACCCCGACAACCTCCGAAAAAACGCATTTTTCCGTGTAATATTTGCGGCCGACATTTTATCAGTTTATATCGTTTATACCGTCACAAGCCAGTACATTCCCCCGATAGACCCTATGAATGTAAGCAGTGTAAATGCCGATTTTTATTTCCCGCTCAATTGAAACATCACATGCTAAAGCATGACAGCCCACAACAACAACAAAAGTCACGCAAAGGATTTAAATGTCCCAGTTGTAGCAGACGTTTTGAGAACAAAAAATCCCTGGGCCAACATTACTGGCAAATGCACAAGCCTCAACCCTCCAAATCCAGCAATAGCAATTATCTCACCTATGCTCAATGTGAAATATGTCAACGTCAATTTGTGACCACACGAGCCTTAGTCAGACACGTTGACAAAAATCACCCGGACTGGGTTCGTTACAAATGTGATCAATGCGAGAAGACGTTTGTCTCAAACAGCCAACTGCAGGAACATTTGAATCGTCATGGTGCACCTCACACATTCACATGTGTCTTATGTCAGCAGGTGACCAAAAATAAAACCGCCCTGCGACAGCATATGCTGAGTGAGCATGGTGTTGCGGAACAGTTCCCATGCCAGGAATGTGGTAAGATATTGTACTCGCCATACTCTTTGGAACAGCACATGGAACGGCATAGCGTTGTGAGAAAATATGCCTGTGATCAGTGTCCCGGTCTGTATAAGTGTAGTGCAGATCTGAGTCGTCATAAAAAGACACATAACAATCCCAAAAAGCATGTTTGCGATATTTGTGGTCTGTGCTATACAAGAGCATGTACGCTGAAGGCGCACAAAATCAAACATTCCGGCATAAAGAAACATGCCTGTGATCAGTGTGGTAAACGGTAAGCTTTCCGATATAAAAAAAATCAATTTTCAAAATTGTTGTATTTTTTTAGTTTTGACACCGGAAATCATTTGCGTAGACACTATCGAACCCACACCGGCGAGAAACCCCACAAGTGTCAATACTGTGACAAGGCCTATAGCCAGTCGGGTGAGTTAACTAAACATTTGAGGACCCATGTCGGCGAGAAGACATATATGTGCAGTGAATGTCCCATGGCATTCAAATATCATGCTGAACTGCGTCAACATTTGTGGGA